TCTCTCTCTCTTTCTTTCGCCAGGCCTGTGGGCAGGAGTGATCTCTCTCTCTGGTCGGTTGTGTTGAAGGAGTTCCAATCAAATCGTACTGGCCAGCAGCTGCCAACAGGCGCTAGTGCTAGTCACCCCGGTCCTAATAGCAGGTAATCTCGAAAAGGGTGATGGCGCCGGTCTACTCACGTCACAAGCAGAAGCATTGGGCAAAGGTGCAAGAACCTACCATTCCGTACCCAGGAGCTCTTCTGCCAATGACACCAAAGTAGCCTTGCAGCAAACAGTTGGGCAAACACCACTACGAATCCGCACCAAACAATGGGGCTTTGTCCGATTTGTCCGAAGCTCGCATTTTCCTATGGGTGTCTTTGAGTGCAGGCCAAGGCCTTGTCGAAAAATGGAAGCAGAGGAAGCGTGACTGAATCCTGCAACACGACATGCTGAGGAATGTAGGCTTTGCGGTTGAGGGGTCTTCACAACTACGTACATGTACTGGCTCCATAGGCTTCGAATGATGGGGTCAACTGTGCTGATGTCGATTTCGATGTTGCTTGTGCAGTGGACTTGGGCGTGAATGGTGCCGGTATATGCGCATAACGTCGAATACTGTTGATCGTAGTGCAACTGTGCACCACGAAACTCTGGAATCGTGGCGACCAAGCGCAGTTGCTTGTGATGCTTCCTACGCTTGGTATTGATGTTGACTGTAAATAGCAAAACCGGGTTGGGGCCGGGTATGAAGCTAAGGATGAGAGTGCACGGCATGCCTAATTATTGCCACTGGCCATGGTGATGATGATGATGACGACGATGATGATGATGATGATGACGATGATGATGGTGATGGTGATGCTGATGCTTTCGATGACGATCATGCCCAAAATGACAACTGCACCGCAGGCATGAGTGCGAAGAATGTCCAGCAAAGTATTGGCTCGCTGTTTTTGTCAGAGCTGCCTGCTCTTTCCATCGCTGAGTAAGGCATTCGCGTACGACTACCCAAGTTTTTGCCTACAAATTGCAGTGGCTGTGATTTGGTAAGGAAACCAGAATGCTGCGGAATTGTATAGGATGGAGCATGAAGAACAGCGAGGAAGGAATCATGATTCCTTACTGGCAAAACCGAATAACGGAAGGCTCTGCCCAGAGATCCAGAACATCTGACGCCAACCACCTTACGTTGTACAGCAGTACGGCCTCCAGCTTCACCACGAAGTCCAGGTCCGGTCGCGAGTGCCAAAGCAGCACCTCGACCAAACATTGCTCAGCCCGTACAGCAATCATGATGCTTGTTCGACCTTTAACTACAGCGGCTACAACATTCGTTGCCACGGGAAATTGCGGCAATCAAACATCGTGATCATCCTGCCAACCACCAGCTCACCTGGCTCTGGCATCAACAACAATAGCGACGACGAGAGCAATAGCAGCAGCAGCAGCAGCAGCAGCAGCAGCAGCAGCAACATCAACAACAACAAGAAGTAAAGCACAACACACAAGCAGAGAACGCACCGTAAGCGAAACATCACGTTAAATGCCGTGACGATCTGTAGTGTACCGGAAGCAACATTAGCGACTGGTGAAAGACCAGCTTTCCGAGCATCAGGCCAACGCTCCCGCAATTCGAAGGATCGCCGGTGATGGCCTTTACGGATTCTGTCGTGCAGGAGACGAAGCTTTGCTGGCTGCCGACGGGTGAAAATCATGTCAGCCAGCAGCGGCAACAACAGCCTTCTAGCTTCCTGGCAATAGCAACAAGCAGCTGTAATCATGATAACAGCACAGCTCGGAATGCTACTCGAAATACGGATCCGAAGAATCATGTCATCATGAATACTACGAGTCGCAAGTAGGCAGTAGCAGGAAGTAGTAAGTAGTGTTTCGCAGTCTGCAGGACGAGCTAAGTGTTGCGTCGCAGAGTAGTAGATAGTACACAGTAAGCTGTCAGCAGGTACTCACATCTAGGTAATAAGTAGTCACGAGTGAGCAGTAAGTAGTAGGTAGTAAGCAGAAGTTAATACCAAGTGATATAAAACGTGGTAAGTAGCACATGGATGGTAGTCGGCATCAGGTTATCGGGTGTAGGTAGGTAATGAGTCGTAGTAACAGCAGTAGTCGTCGTCGTAGTAGTAAGTAGTAGCAGTAGTAGTAGAAGTGAGAGTGGGAGTGGAGGAATAGCAGCAGTGGTAGTAGCAGACGTCGTCGTCGTCGTCGTCGGAGTAAGAGCAGCAGTAGTCATCATGGTGGTAGCTGTGGTTCTGGAGGCGGATTTAATTCGAAAGTCGTGGCAGGCAAAACCTGATCAGTAGTTAGCCGGGTGTTTCTAGCAATGACGGCAGCGCACTTTAACATTTAGGCAGTAAAACTACCAAAAACGATGGCCGCGAAGAAGCACAGGACCATCCATGAGTAAGAACAGGGGGCATTTATGGTACCATGCCTTCTGAGCCTCTCTCTGGTGAAAAGGCCTCTTTATGCCCAGACTTGGACGGACACGGGGTGTCAGACTGTGGGGACCATGGAGCATCAGCTCCGTGCCCCAGAGAGAAAGCATTAAACGGTTGTTGAAGCTTTTCGGCCAGGGTTCAAGCTACCGTTTTGTAGCAAGAAGCCTTAGTGGGGCTTGAATTTCACTTCGGCAATACCATCACCGGCAATTCTCTTCTCCCATCTGCTCGGCCGGCCCCGACAAGGCCCGGGCTCGTCCAGCACCTGGGGCCCCAAAGTCGTCGCAGCTGCTGCCTCTTCCGGCAGGGGCATGTGTGTCGCAGCGACCCTCTCAAACAAACGCATCCTCTAGTTCTATTGGTTCTATTCCGTGCTTTTTTTTCTCACGGTGCATCCGCTGGACGCCGGCGCTTTTCCCGCAGGGACTCCAGCGCAGGAGCGGTGAAGTCGGCCAGAGGGGTGGGCAGATCCTGCAGCCGTGTCTGCCTAAAGGAAACCAAGACCGAGGGTCGGTCCTCCAGGTCGAAGAACCCCAACTCATCGTGCTTCGCCTGATGCTTCAAGCTCTGTTCCCGAAGCTGTTCTACTTCAAGGAAACGCTTCGGTGCTCTGAGATGAACCATCAGGGTCAGGCAACGAGCTGTAGAATCAGGTGTTGAACCCACATCCGATGTTCGCTTTCTCTAAGTATCGGGCAGGTTCGCGATTTACGGCCGATTCGGCAGCGCAGCCGGGCGCCAGCTGCGCAATGTAGCCTGGCCAGTATCCACGGACGCAACACTCTGGTGAAGATTTGCAGAGCTACGAGGCCAATTATCAGATCGGTAGTGCCTATGGAGACCCAGTGGCTCGACGAAGAGATCTGGGAGCTGACCTTGGTGATCAGCACTTGAATCACTAGAGGCCCACACACATACTGCTTCCTTGCGTCATTCTGAATGCTATGTTGGTCGCGGCAGCTTTTTTGATCTTACTCCTCCTAAACCCTAAACCCCTAACTCCTAAAAACCCCAAACCCTGATGTCGTCTCTGATTTCACTGAACAGATGCTCAGGCTTTCGCATCAAGAAGCTGCGGTTCGACAATGTCCAGGCCCGTTTCTTCCCTGAGTTGCACCAGGCTTCGCTATTTAGGACTTTAGGTCTTAGGGCTTTTCATTGCAAAATGGGTCCCCCGAAATGGCAAACATCGATTCCGACTGTGATGTCACTCCCGGCATCGTTTCCCACCTCCGGCTTCTTAAGGAGCACTTCGCTCAAAGGGCAAAACAAAAACGTGTCTCTGACATCTCTGAGCCCCACCCCGAGGAAACCCAACTCATCCCGAGATCCGAAACCCACTTCAGGAATTCAACCTGACCTAAACCCTAAACCCTAAACAGCCTTGCAACCTGAAAGAAGGCACCCAAGAGGCCGAAGCTCGCGAATGAGGGCCGCTTCACAGGACTCCCCATGCTCGACGGCGCCACCCGGCCTCTGAGACATCATCATCCCATGATTCCATAAATAGTTGGTTGATGATTATTCTTCTTATTAATGTTTTCACCAAATTCGTCTCATATTAAAATACCAATAGTTATTCGTAGTCTTTTTATTCTTGCTATTACTATTGTTCATGTATTCTCTAGGAGGGATTTCCAGGATAAGAGGGCCCGGGGATACAGAAGGAAAGCATCCGAGCCCTGCCTTGCCCAAGTGCCAGGGGCCACCCGAGAGGTCGAACTTCGTTTCACAAGCAGAACCTAACGGAAGGAGGGCGGAGAACTCCCTAAGTTCACGCTACACCCTAGACCCTAATCCTTAAACCCTGATCCCTAAACTGCATGTGAATTCTTTGCATTATCTTGCCAGGGTGAGGGCACGAACAAGGCAGCAGGTTCCAATATCTCTTGCTCGCAGTCTGATTGCTTAAATCAAACGGGGGTATGGTTGTGAGGCTAGGCGCCGGCTCCCTCGTCTCCAGGCAATATGACACGTGTGCGGCAATCAAATAGGGTCTTCTCTGCCAGGATGTTTACACCTCGTCGTCTTCGCCTGCCCAACTGACAACCCCACCCTGTTCATGACAGCGAGCGCTTCTTCGTGCCTGCCACTCCTGCTTCAAGGAATACCTAACATTTGTGGATAGGCTACTTCTTAAGCACCAGCACTACCGTGTCAGGCCAGCTCGGACAGGTCTCTCTGCCACGGTCGTCAAACACGAAGGCGCCGACACCCACGCCTCGCAAAGAGCACCGGCACAACGCCAAACAAGATCTGGTGAAATTCAGTGCCTAGAGAGTAAAAGAAGGATGAACGAATGAAGAAACACTCGAATACGAAATAATCTAAGCACAGGTAGGTAGCCATACTAACCATAATACAGTGATCGATAGGTCCTGGTAAGGGTTAGAGTTAGGGAAAAAAAGCAAACGCAGTCATAATGGCACCAATGGCACATTGGTGCCATAGACATGTCATCAGGTTTGCACCGGTACTGATTGTACACATTGCGAATCCAGGACATCCCAGCATGCAGGTTGTCGCAAGCACCAACCCCAAATCGAAAGGGACCTTTAGATGGGAGACCTGAACAACCCGCCAACAGGGACTTCCCGTTTGGGAAAGTCCTGAGGACAGGAGCGCAAGCCAGGAATGGTACACCTGAAATTAAACCGAGACCATGAAACAAATCTGATCACGACAAGAAGATCAACAAAGGGCAGCAGATTGGGCCAGGGACCTGGGTAGTCCTTGCCAGCTTTCAGGCCGGCTGCATCTGCTGCGGACATGGCTCGCTAACCCCCAAAGGCGCCAACGTCTCAAAGTGTAGTGTACGGGTTCTGTAGCGTTTTGCCAGGGCCTCTCAGGTTGTTTGTCGTTATGTTGCGATTTTTCCTTTACACTGGTCACTGAACCGGCATGTACGCAAAAGGGCTTTGGACATAGTGTCTAGTTTAACACTTCGATCGCTTTGCTCGGTTCCCCATGCAGATTTGTGAAAGCGGAGCATGACAGTGCCTTTTCGCTACATTTTGGAAAAATCTGATAGATCAACTCAATGATCGCGCTCGACGTTGTCAACAACCTGCCTTCTTTTCATGCCCCACAACCTACTTGTCCTGCCATATAGGACACGGCTACAGACAAGCTCTAAGTCGATGAAGCTGCCCAAATGTCAGTATAGTTCCAAAAGCTGATTTGCGAAAGGGGACCTGTCGCACAAGATGTTGGAGCGCCGGGCAGGCAATGCTGAGTGCTGCCGTCCACTGCAGAGCAGGTCTTTTCCGCTGCTACTTCATTGGCAAACAGCTCAGAATTCATCATCTTCGGCACCTTGCGATGTGCTTTCGGGTGCTGTGGAGTCACAGATTCTTAGTTTGAGACGAGGGCTTCATCGATCCTTTGGGGTATCTGCTTACTTGACTCCGTCGTTTGCGTGGCATCATGGAGAACAAGCCCAGACCAGCATGAAGCGGATCGTCGAGCCTCAAGAATCCAAGCGCAACTCTCTCGTGCCTTGTTTTCGTGTAGTGCCTGAGGGCCCTGTCTGGATGCAGGATAACATTTTGCCACACGAAGCTCAAACATACCATGCCTATCCTTCACAGCCTCAAAAAAACCTCAGTAAACAAGATCCTCTCAAGCCCAATATCAATCGGGGGGAATATAACGCGTCCCAAGGGCCAACCTAGATGCCAACAACCCCCACCACCCTTCTGAAGTCTGGGGGCCGGTGCCAGCTGCGGCATCGTTTTGCCAGCAGGCCTCCTGCTGCCTTAAGGCTATTGGGTTTGGGGTCAGGGTCTAGGGTCTGGAGTTTTTTGTGAATTGAACCAGGGTGGCACCGCACCACAAGTTAGCTTGTCGTAAATAAGGCTCTAAGCCTTGAGTGTTCAAGGCCCGAGGTTTGGAGTCCTGGCAAAGCTCTCGTGATCACCGGCTCTTGCAGTAACAACAACCTGCTGATGCTAATGGCCATTGTTGCCGTTGCTGTTGCCCTTCTGTTTTTTCCCGAAGACCTTGCGAAGGGCTCTTTGGAAAAAAGCTGTTGCTTGCTTACACTACACGCATGCTTGCCTTCATGCTTACCTTGCACCTTTTCGACCCTTCCGTGGTTCCATCGAAAACGATGCAATCGGAGCTTCCAATTCAGGCCAAGAGTCGCCATCTCCGGCCTGAGCTGGAAAAGGACTTGCGCTCAGGTGGGCTTCGGGCTTCCTGGAAGTTCACTGAACCCTGACCTCTGCACCCGGCACCCTACAGGACCCCTCCGGCCCAAGGGCCGTCATTCTTGATCTGTCAAGACTTCCCGAGCTCCCAAACTCCAGGCAGGCAGCAAAGCAGGCGGTAGAGGAAGCTGGCTGTAGTGTTCCAGCACCTGCTGCTCCCTACTGTCCCAGCAGCCCGTTGCTGTCCGTGAGTTTTAAAAAGCAGAGAGGTACTGGATCCCGAACGACCTTCACCATTTGACTTGAAGCCTTGAAGCTCCGGCTCGTCGGCCTCCTCAGTGTTCCACAGTTTTAGCGGCTTTCTCCGCCTCTCTGCAGGGACCAGTCGCCAGTTGGGCGACGCCTGCAGCCACGGGAAGACCCTAAGGCCCCAAGCGGCCTACTGCGGCCAGCCATCAAAGTCACTGATACTCGATAGGTCCACAGTTCCTAATAATCCTAATGCTAAGAACGCAAGAAACTGCGAGGACCCCTCCTGTCGCTTGAGCCAGTTGAAGTCCTGGACCTCGCTCCATGCACCTGCCTCAGGATGGGAGGCGATTGTGCAGGAAAATTTCTTTGCGAGAGAGTCCTGGGTTTCTGATGAGCCAATTCCGCTTGGCAGCTACCGCTGAGCCTACGCCTTTCTTATGGATCATGACTCACAACTACGTGGCCCAAAGCACCTCGCCGGAGAACTCTCCCAAAGAGGCAGCTGCCAGGAGGTCTGCGCCTGGAATCGCGGCACGACAGCGAAGGGCCGTGGTTGAAGGCAACTCCGACACATTAGGGAGCCAGGGGGTCAAGGCAAATACATGCGCCCCAACCTGGTTCCCAGACCGATGATGCAACCAACGGTCCCTGCAGCAGCGCCAGCATGTGGCCATGTGACGGTGGGGACGACTAAACTCATGCAGCTTTTAGCCCACGCACCCGCTCATTTGATTGCCGTCGTGACGATGCTGATGCTGCTGAGAGTGATGTTCATTATGATTACTACCGAATCATGAATACTACCACCATCTGCATCGCTGTTGCAGTTGACCGATACCTCAATCTCCACACACCTAAACACGAAAACGCTACAAGCAAAGACCACAACTTGCCGGCCTCCGTCCCAGGTGATGTCCCACGGCGCGAAAGTTATCCTCTTCGAGGTCTCAATGATCGGACCAGACCTGCTAGTGCGGGGTTTTTGGGTTGAGGGTCAAGCGCTTTGAAGCTGTCGTCGGAATGTCACGGGATTGTTTTGATTCACAGCGGCACTGTACCCAGAGGTGTGCTCGCATGCGGCTCAGAGCAGCCATGCTTAGATGTCTCTGAGTAGGTCCGACTACACCTTGTGCGCTCGACACTACAGTAGGCCGGCGAGAGGGGATGGTCATCAAGTCAAGATTGGTGTACGCTTGAAGTGTAAACTAGCAGTAACTAACACAAACAGTAACACAGTTGCACGACACAACTTGGGCTGTGGCAGCGTGTGAAGATGGAGCAGTACGTTCTCCGAGTCGTGAAGCCGAAGCTGCTTGACCTTGGCCCAAAGAGTCTTGCTGCTGGAGCTGCTGCTGCTTCACCACCACCGCCACCACCACCAACAACAACAACAGCAACAGCAACAGCACCAGCACATGCACCTCCTGCAACCACAACCACAACAATAATGAGAGAGTAGTAATAACAACCACAACATCATCTTCATCACCATCACCCTCATCACCATCATCATCATCATCATTATCATCATCATCATCATCACCAACATCAGCATCAGCAACATCAAGAAAACCAACAACAACATCATCATCAAAACAACACTACCAACACCGTCAAAACAAACAATCTCATCACCATTATCGTCATCATCAAGAGCAGCAGAAGCAACTAACAGCAACAGCAACAACAAACAAACACACACACACATACACACACACACTCTCTCACTCTCTCTCTCTTGGAGTTACCCTCGGTATAACCGAAATTATGTCATAGGTTAACAGGTTGTTCTCGTGTCTTTCATCATTTCTTTTACTGTCGACTTGCCAGCTTTGTGGCCTGGGCTAGTGGCCTTTCGATATGCAGGTACTTCGACGTGGCGTCCCAAGTCGATATGACAGGATAGCAGGAAGGTCGTCGTTGGTGCCAACCTTCTGCAATCCCCTGGCACCCCCTGCTCGTAGTAGTAGTAGTAGTAGTAGTAGCAAGTAGCAAGTAGCAAGTAGCAGTAGCAGGAGCAGTAGCAGTAGCAGCAGCAGTAGCAGTGGTAGTAGTAGT